ACTGTGACTGTGGATATACTAAAATATTTTGTTCGACTGCAAAGCAGTAAGATGAAGCCCATAGAATTGGACCTGAGTGTGCTCCTACTGTCTCTGACAACCAAACCCTATAAACCCTTCCATACACACGGTGAGCTCTGGTTTATAGTCCCTGCTCTTTAAATCTTCCTTGTTTGCTGTTTTCTTCCAGAATCCTACTCCTCTCTTCAATAAAACCAAATTTCATTATTTCTGTCCTCCAAATGTTCATAGATTGCTGAATCTTTTAATATAAATACTCGATCTCCTCCCAATGTGTATTGGGAGACAGTATTTGAATCTCTTCTTAACTTCTGCTTTGCCAAGTTAAACATTAACCGTTTATATTTTCTTTCATAACAGCAAGTTTTGGATTATAATAAGGTGTCTCTGCACTTGTTTCAGTCAGAATTCATCTTTTCTGAGCGTGAGTGATCATAGCCAAACATAATGCATAATGTTCAAAACGATGTCTTGCTAGTGACTTGTACAGTGGCAATAATAATTCCCTATGCACACTTTTAGTTATAGACAGGGATCAATTTAATTTTTATACCTATATCGTATTAGTACCTTGATTTATCCAGATATTTTTGCTCCAATAAATAGCAAAAAAAAAAAAAAAAAAAAAAATTGTTATCTATCTGTAAGTACAGACAAATGCACTAACTTTTCCTTAAGACATTTTTCCATTTCATTAAACCACTACACTTCTCTAGCTCTCACATGGTTTCTTTCCAAGGGGGTGACAAATTAAGATATTTTCGAGAACAGTTACAAGATCTCTAGCCTCCAAAATCAAAGTCCTGAAATATTTTTTTTTTAAATGAATCAAAGTTTAGATTATCACATATTCCCGAAACCATATGAAGCTTAATTCATTACTCTTTTGAAATATTCTGAAAGCTGAGGGTTAAGAGGTGTTATATTAGTGCAGAATAATGATGATTAATTTGTGCTTCATCTCAAATACAGGAAGAATAGATATGTGTGCAGTGGATCCTCTATAATTTCAAAATCTTTCTATAAACTTGAAGATACCTTGTAGACATATGTACCTTAAATGGAACACAAGACCGCTTTTTTCTGTTTAGAGTGTGACTGTTGTAGATTTCTTTCAGATATTACTGCTTCAAATAAAGTCCCCCTTTTTCCAAGATTCAGGACAGATTCACTTAAAATTTACCCTTTTGCCTTTTTGTTACAGAGTAACTAATGAAAATTCTGTTTTAAATGTGCTTTCTGTGAGACAGAAACATTCTTTTTTTCATTATTAACAAAAGCCCGTATTTCAAACTGTAGGGATACTGCTTCAGGTAGTGTAAATCAGCATTGCTCTGAGATGGCCTGCAGTCCTCTCAACCAGCTCTGCAGAACAATTTAGTGGTTTTAGATGACAGTTGGCATCTTTGAAATATTCTCTTTTGCAGAACTAGACTAGATGTGACACTTGCTGGAGAAGAAATCTTGCATAAATCTGTCTAAAAAGACTCACTTAATCATATTACTTCACTAGCAGTGGTAACCTTTGGAGGCCAAAGTCCAGACAGGTTGAGAAATGGAACATGAGTACATAAAGGTGACAATTCCATTAACTGCAATCAAAGAGAGAGGTGAATGGTGAGATAAAGACAAATTACTTATTCTATACAAAAGAAAAGAAAATATGTGTGTGAAGGGGAAAGCGACAGAATGAACATTTTCCAGCCTTGTCAAGGAAATAAGGACGCAGTCCCTCTCCATTGAGACCAACACAAAAACGTCTCTCGGCCTCCCTGGATGCAAGCTCTGGCCCAGCCTCCCGGCCTGCTGTTGAATGTTCGAGCGAACCGTCATTTCAGGAGCACACGTGCACAGGTGAGACACCCCAGCAAAAAACTATATGCAGAATAACTTCCTGAACTGCCCACCATAGCTGTGCTGGAAATGCAAATACAGAGCCTAGCTTTGCAGTCATCAGGGCATTTTGCAAAAATAAGTAAGTGGAAAAATTGTTGGCATTACTAATGAATCTAGTGATTCAGGATTCTCAAATATATCAGACAGTCCAGGGGGTTGCCCTTCAACCCCAGAGGCTGAACAGAAACAGCATCGGGACTTTCTTTTGGGCCCCAAATCAGAAAGCGTGGGTACATATTGGTAACGGAAACTACCACCAGAAGGGGGAAAGAAAGTTCTTAAGCAGGTTCAGTGCCAAACTTCAGCACTGATAAAAGAGAGATTGTCAGGGCATATTCTCAGCCAGTAGCGTTCAGAGAGGCCAAGAACAGCAGAAGTAGCATCACTAAGACAATTTCACATCAACTAAGTTTTTTCAGAGGAGGTGGAAGCTCAGAGACTAGCCATGCTGGCTATTGAGCTGCTTTGCAACACTGGATCTAATCTATTATCTCTCAAGTCTTTCTAAATTTAAGATAAAGAGGAAATGAATAGTGTAAAAATCTGTATCTATATACAATCTCCTCCCGTTTTGCAATTTTCCCACTTCTGTGTGGTGTTTTCAAGAATTTCTATGCAGTAAACTTTATCTAAAACCAATCCATCTACCAAAACAAAAGAAGCAGATAAGCAAATTGTTTTACTTACAGAAGCAAAAATGGATCTTTGAGCATTCAAAAATTCTGCTTATTTAGGTACTGACTATCGTAACAGTTGAAGGGAATAAAAGATTTGTAAAGGGTCATGTAACACGTGCTTGCTTAGGCAGTTAATACAAGCATCTGAGGGTGTTTTTCAGTCTCATTTTTGAGAAGTGGTATAAGGTTGGTATAGGAAATAGAAGCTGGGGAATACTCTGGATGAAATGCTTACCGAGTCATTAGACTAGGCCTTCATTCAAACAGGGAAATAAGGAAGTAAAAAACAACTGAATACTATGCAATAACAAGAAGGGATTTTTGAATGTACAATAGGAAAAAAAGGAAATTTCCTTTGGGGGACTTTTTCTGTTTTTAACACAGATATTAAGTTACTCTTAGATACTAGAGCAGTCAGAAAGGGAAATCCTTGCTTTACATGGCTCTAAATATAGCTAGAAAAAGAATTCAGGTTTTATCAATTTGTGACCCATTTACGTACGTTTTGGGTAGCTCACCTTTTCATACAAAAGTCAGAAGCCGATACAAACAAGCATACAATATTTCAGGCTCCACCAAAATTCCAGTGTCTTGCCCAGGGCCTGTTCCTGCCTGCCCTCTTGGCTGGATCCCAACATCTCTTATTCTCAGGGGAGTCAGCCTTCCAAAAAACCACTTGGCACTTGAGTCAGGGCTGCTCTGTTTTCCTAACGTTCACGGAAGGCAGGATGTTTTCTGACTCTGGTACCCAACAGTTGAGCATTCCAGACAGCACAGGGATTTTTTCTTTCGAAACCGCACTGCCAATGCCGTAAGAGCAAGTGAAGTTCTGTGACACCGTGTGATCCTGGTGGGAAAAGCGGATGACTTTGTTGCCATACAGTGATACACAAAGGGAGAACGCGTATGACTCTTGCTACCTTTAGAAACTCTCCTTCTGTGGTGTGAATGCTGAAAAAATTCTGGCTTAAAGTCATGTTTTCATCAACTGGTTCCCCTCTGGGAAGACTGCCAGTTCTCCACAGATTAGGTTAAGGAGAAGACACCCCCCCCCGCCCAAATTCTTGGCCAGGAAAGAAGCCCACTGCTGCAGCATAGCAGAGGATATTGAGCATAGAGCTCAATAGTCTTTGCACATGCTGTTGCTGCACCCATCCGTGTTGCCAGCACGTGAAAATGTCCTCTTTGCTCCCCAGAACAGATTCAGTTTGTGAACACAGAGTACAGATACCCCCATGACTTTTGCATATCCGTTTACACTCCTTAAATATTAGAAATATGACTTTATCATTAACATTTATATTCAAGTAATTCCTGAGAACACTGATGTCAGGGACAACTAACTACAGCTGTGCAGCCTTTGCCTTCTGGAACAGAAACTAAATAGGTGAGGGCATGCGGGTTACAACTCACAGACAGGACTGGACTCCTCACTGATCAGGAGCAGACATACTGCCCCGCTCAGTGTGGGAGGCAGATTTGCCCTAGACATCTTCCATCGTAGCTCTGTGCTAAAATCCAGATGTGCAAAATCATGAAATCACAATCTGTTGAGCTGGAAATGAATTTCACAAGCCAAGCTGTGAAAATCTGTCGAGCTCCTTAAATTTCACAATACCTTACCTCCCATGAAAAATACCTAACAGGGGTTAAATATTTTTTCTGCAACATCCTTTCAAGACTTTTTCCATAGAATATGACCAGCTTACGTGAAGTGGTTTGTTGCAGTGGTGGTATGTCATACAGTGATGCCAAAATCCAGTCAGCGTGGAGAAGGGTTGACAAGGGCTCAACCACACTTCAAGCTGCATGTCCTGTTGCCATGCCTGAGACTTCATATAAAAGGCAGATCCTATTTTGCCCTTTGAATCCAGAAACTAGTGAACACAGCCATGGGAGGCAAAGTACCATCAGCATCTGTTAATTCGTAAAAAATATAACTGTCTGTTCTCCAAGGGTAAGATCATGAACTGGAATCTGGACTTCCCAGATTATAAACAACATGCAGCCTTTCTCCTAAACTCATTGCAAAATGTACAAATTATGTTCTAAAGCCAGCACTGTAATCTTTTAAGATCTTCAATTCCACAGGGGCTTATTCAAGTACTTAAAAAGAAGTTTGTAGGATCATTTAGCCACCTGCAAATCATACACAAATAAACCAAACAGCACTAGAAACAGGAATAAAATCACCATATATGTAGCTAGTTCCCTATAGCAGTTAGATTTTCATGCTCTGTATACAACCCAAAACAAATTGTCTGCTTATAATTAAAATATGATACTGTTTCCAGAAGTCTTGCCTCTCGGGAGATAATTTTATACCATGGGGCAGATTCAGCCCTGGTGTAGTATTTCTGATTTTCATAGAATTACACCATTAAAGAATTCCGCCCAACATCTTACCCACACTGATGCAATTCAACTTTTAAGGGACAGTACTGGGGTTTCCTCCTAACTTGGGCCAAGTTTCTGGAACAAGGGAAGTCTGTAAAAGAAACCGTTGGAGGGATGTTTTAGTCTGGCATTTAGGAATAGTCACATATTAGAAAACGTCACAGGATTTATTTTGTACGTCTTACACATTAGAATTTCTTGGTTTTTTTTTCTTTCCTTGCAGATACATTGCCAGTAGGTGGACAAAGCAAAACAGGATAAAACCCAAGGAATTGTAATGAAAAAATTACAGACAGCTGTGAGTAGAAAGACATTTGTGGATCCAGTTAATTCTGCATCTTCATTATATAAGTCTATTTTACAAACTTAATATATCACCTGAGCTTGTAATGTATATGATTAACATATGATTAACATACGATTAAGATATGTAACGTATATGATTAACAATATGATTAACAACTGCATCACTCAGGACTCTGAAGAAAAATATAAGATATTAATTCTCCACCATTTTAGGTAACTTTAAATATTTTGGGCATGATTAATCTCACACAGTGTTTTGGATTTATGCTTTGCATGACAGACGGAGATCAGAATATACACGCTGATGCTCTCACTGATGTTGAAAACTTCTGACTCCTGTGCAGAATCCAAGGAAAAGAGCTGTAACACTTCCCTCCTCCTGGAGCTAACCTGATCTTTCCTAAAATCATGCAGCTTCGTAGGTCATGGCCCTGAAAACAGGAGTTTCCCCAGCTCCTCCTACCAGCGCTACATGTACTGGGCACCGTGGTGCGGGGCAGGTTGCAAACAGTAGAAATGTGATGCTGTCAGAGGCCTGGGGGAAATTACTCTGTTCCCTCTGCAGTTGTTTGAGCTGCCCAAAGCACAAAGCAGATGCGGCGGTTCTTAAGGCTTCCTGGGAAAATCAACACTGTTTCAAAACCGTATCAGAATCAGAACTGCAGAAAGATTAATCGAGTTTGGGTCAAGAGGGAAGAAGGATGCAATAGCTTCTGACAGCAGTGAATTGGTAAGTGATGTACCCAACGTTGGGCTTACGAGTCAGAATAGTCAATGCATCGCATGAAAAACTCCTTTAGACTACTGACATAATATTAGAAAGAACATGAAAAAAGACAGAACAATCAAAGGTACATTTTATATTTCCTACTTTAATTCTTACACTAATTTGACAATCATAAAGCCTTAGTATAAATCAAGCAGAGAAAATGCTATCAGTAAATTAAAACATAAATAGAAATACGTGTACAGAAGTTAAAAAACCTTTTGGTACAGAAGATGACTGCAGTTCAGAGTTTCTTCCAGTGTTAAGCACAAGCAGCAGAATGAAACTGCTTTAAACATTGCTTAGAAATCCCATTCTGGTTGCTAACCTTTGAATTTTACAGTTTGTCTTTCTGAAGCAATGATAAAACCATCACAGCTTTAATCAACTTTTTGAATCATTGACCGGTCTGCAAAACTGAAAGTGGAATAAGAAAGCAAGACACAACAAAAATCAGAAATACTGTACATTGTTTCCATTTCTGTCAGCCACAGCTAGGAAATATTGTTATAAAAAAATGAGGAAGGAAGTAAATGATAACTGCACTCTTATTTTAGACTATTTTATGTCTGATTGTTTCAAAAGTAGGAGGAGTATGAGACTGGGCACGTAACTCCACCCTCTCCAAGAACTGCTGGGATCGTTGTTTATGAGTGTGATCCAACACGAGAAGAGTTTCCTTACCTACAGTATGTTGTAATCATGGAAATATCATGGGATGTTCTAATTGACACCTCATCCCCATCAACACGATGTACACTGAAAAGTCATCGCCTTGGGAGGTACAGGACGAGAGAATTAGGATGGCAGATAATTATCCCATGGGCTGCAGATATTTCCCTCAGTGGCATCCTGGCCACTGAGGGCCAGCAGCGAAGAAGCAAGCTGATGTGCAGGCGCAACTCCACCGTGATGGGAACACTACCTACAAGAGCTGCGTGTAGCTGCGCGGAGCCCAGGGGCCGGTACAGACCCCCCTGAGCAGGTGTCAGGGTTTGGGGAGCGAGGCCAGGGGGTTTTACCGCCTCTGTACATACTCTCTTTTGCTGCCTTCAAAGGGAGTGATACTTGAACTCTGTCCACTCACTGCTTTGTATATTCTACTGCCGTATCTCCAATTTCCCCCAAAAAAATCTTAAGGTAAGCTCTGAAGAATTGGGAGGAGGGAGAAGCAGCTTTTACGGAGTGAAGCAAATTTTCCAGAATAAAACTCTATCCTTTTCGACCACCTATTACAATCTGATTGGATAGCGCCATGCTTCAAATTTCCTCAGGTTTTTCCCCTTACTTTATTGCTTTTAAAATAACTGACAGCTCAAAGTTTCATCTAACACTATTTTGTGTGCTTTTTCTGCCTTAAAAAAATGATCATCCAAGAACTATTTACTCAGCACCAAGCTTTAGGAAGTCACCTTGATACAGGAGGAAAAAATCTGGTCAAGTTGCTTTGTTTTCACATGTTAGTGAAACGAAATCCCAGATAGAGCTATGGGATGTGACTATTTATCATCCTTTGAGAAAATATATGTTCTAAGATCACTGGTACTTGTGTCACCCAGTTTCTAATGTTGTTGAAAACTGACACCAACACCATGATCTGAATAACTTAAAAACATTGACCCAAGAGTAATGCCCCCCTTTAAAAGAAAGACCTCCAGAATGAAGACTTCAGCTGCTTCTTGAGCTAGAGAACTATTTTTCCAAGCTGCTGCCTGGATTGGGATTCAAACCAAAACTAAATGAATGCAAAGGAGGAAGCCTAATGTACAGCAGTTAAAATATATGGAGACTTTGGGGTTTTTTGAACATCAAACCCTTCAGGGTAAAAATATGTGCAATTTGGTATTACAAGCATTTCCCTTCCCACTGGAAGGTTAACTTATCATCGAGGAATACATTGCTCTCAGACAGTATCACAGGCTGGTCATGTTCTTGCTACATCAACATATTCTCAACCAGAAGAAAATTAGTGTCACCTGTGGTAAGGGTTGTCTTTGTTACATTATTCTCTTGCATATACTGGTATTAAAGGGAACCAATTCTGAGGTTGAGAGTAAGCTTAAGGATCCCAGCGGTATTTTTTGCCTTTTAATCATGGCCTTTTCAAGGTAATCCATGTTTTAGCAGTGGCCCATAAAGTTATCTTCATCAGTAACCTGTTGCCACATTCATTCCACAGAACTCTGCAGAGAGCCTATGACCACGGAGGCTTACTGATGGCAGCAGTTCCTCCCTGCTCAGGTTCCAGCGATACATCCCAGCCATCTGCAGCTTGTTTAGCATGCAAAAACCCAGACTGGTACTCTGGGTTGGGTAACTGTGTTCTTATTACACCCACTCAATGTCCTTAATACTGAGTAACAGGAAACCAGGGGATGAAACAGGCTATTACTTTTGGTTTCTAAGGTCCTGAATCTGTTCTAGGGGAGTATCTGCTCTTTGACAACACTTCCCATACTGCGTTTCAGCCAGGAAGATGGATGTACCTTAGTTAAAGTGAGTCATTCACTGAACCTAGGCCAAACTTTGAAGCAAATCTGGGCCAGTTTACCGCCTCAGGAGGAAACCTGGTTTTTGCATGAATTAGATGTGAAAATAAGCAGAGCCTGACTGACATCTTCTCTGAATTCCAACTGTAAGGGTAAAACCCAGCGGGCATGAGCCTCAGGCATGACAAAAATGAGGAGGGGAAAATGAGGCTTCCTGTCGCCCCTCCAAGAGCCAGAGAGACACGTTACTCAGAACTTAGGGTAAACTGTTAATTATTTATACACTAATTAAGTAATGTTTATAGAATGTCTTACATGTGTAAATTGCTGTAAATATGCTTACATTTTTCCTGCAGTCTCCAATTAAACGAACTTTCATTTTAGAGCAAAACAATTCCATACCAACTTGTTACACCAGTTCTTTAGCCAGGCAGCTTTTTAGCTAATGGCCCCAACTCAAACTGCACTATTGTATTTCTCTACAGAAATTTCTGTGCTGGTTTGTAGTTGTTTTAATTCCATCACAGATCACATTTTGTTTAATGATAATTTGATTTTGCATTGCAAGACCCAGATGTACATTAGGAGGTCACAACCTTTCCATTTATCTCTTAAAGTAACTATTTTTTCCCCAAGTTCCATCAGGTTAAAACAGTTAGCAATTTTTCTCCTTGAAGTGTCCCTTCAGCTTGGCCAAGATATATAATAGATCAGTGTAGCTACAAATGCATTACAACATTAGTCATCAATTAGTTTTAAACCATCACTGTAATATATCATTTATCTAGCTTGCTGTAGCACTATTGTGAACATTTAATTTTTTAAAGGCATCTTGATTTTTTAACCTGACGGCTACATCCCCCTTTTGTCTCCTATACAGACATCTCCTTAAGGAACAATAAAAATTAGATTTGTTTGACCTGCACTCAGGGTTCGTTTAAGCGAGATGGATTTTAATTGCTCTGCCTAGTCTACCAGACAGCTTTTATGTAATATTCCAGACATTTACGCACTGTCTTTTCCCTTGCTGTAAGCAGGTGTGTGTGCCCACAAATGCCTGTAAAGCAGCTCTTACAATTCATTTCACATCTCTGATAATCCTCTGGGAAATTGCTTACTTTGAGACATCACTGGCATCAAATTAAGGGCTCTAGTCATTGCCACTTCTTTCCTCCTAATCCCATTTTCTTTTGTCTTTAAGATTCAACTTTTTGTGCGGCTAATTCTAAAAGGACTTTGCTGAGGACTGTGTTCCCTGTGCTTGCCTTGTCACCACACAACACAGATGACTCACCTCTGCATCTCCCAGTAGCCAGAATGCGGACAGAGCCTTACCTGTCTCTCCCCAAATCCACACTGTCCTTCCACCATTTGCAATACGTTTGACTTTTTAGATTTACCATTTGAAAAGGTTTGGAGTATAAAACAACTGAGACTGAGAGAAGCATGTCTATGCCACAGACGTTCGGTATCTTCAAGTATCTCTAACTTCAATTAGGAAGTCACGCGAGCAAGTTATCAGAGCCCTGA